GCTTCGTAATATCGATTGAGAGAAGCCAGAACTGTCTCGTTTGGCACAAGGACAGGCCACTGCTGTTGACGCTGCAATGACAGCTGAACCTCTTCACGGAGATGTATGTTCCTCTGTTCGCGACGCATCATCTTGAGGCGATTGGCAGGAGACTGGACTTCCTGGGACAGGCTGCGAACCACGTCAGGGCCATACTCGACCTCAAGGACGGTTAGGATGTAATGGGAGTCGGGGTGGGCGAAAGGATGCTCAAATGGGAAATAAGACAGCCATATGGCACTCAATACATGGGATCCCACAGCCTGTAGATACAAAGCTCGTTCGCGAACGTGACATACGAGACCGTTACACATTTTTGCACGGGAGCGACTATTGATGGCAGGCCGCCTGAACAACGGAAGAAGGTGGATGGAATTAGTCAGGGTGTCCACAGAAAGCTTGAGTAGCCTGCGGACAAGCTCTTCGGTCGAAAGCGACGTCCAAGGTATGGGCGAAACAAGGCAAGGGTGAACCGCATAAGCCGCAGGGGGAGGACGACGAAGAACTTCGGCAACATCTGCACCGAAGACCGTCACAAATCGTGCACAAAGCAACGGAAACAGATGACGCTCACACGACGAAGGTAGCTGGACGTCATGCAATCGAGAGGTGGCACAAGCGCAGGACAATCCCGTAAACTCAGAGCGTGCGGTCTGAAACGATTGTAGGATCGCGCGTACAAGAACAGCCTTCGACCCTCGCTGAACTTTCGTCCCAGGAAGCGCAACGGCACACTGCTTAAGCACGGGAACTGATAGGGCAGCAAGGTTGTGCTCAATGGTGCTGTCAGCATAATAGAGCCAGGGGGGACACTGTTCCAATCTGGATGCAATGGACGAAGCCACACTGGAACTATGACGCGTGGCTAACGGGCCGAGAATCATGCAGTGACGATAACCAGGACACTCGATCTCGCGGAGAGACAGAAAGGTGGATGCATTGTTACGACTGATGACAACGGACATGCCATCGAATGTAACACAGCCTACAAAGGGGGACGAGCAAGAAGGGCACGATACATGATGGGTTTGAAGACATTGCAGGAGCCAGGAGCAAAAAGTTTGGGGTGTTTCAAAGTGAGAGGTGTGGTATTGGGGGTAATAAAGAGCATCATAATAAACGGGATAGTCAAAGTGGTCGTGAGGAACAAGTTCAGGAGGACAGAAGTGCTCAGCAAGCGCTCGAGGAGAGCGGCACGGAAGTTTGACAGCAAACGGCCTACAGATCCGTCAAAAAGAATGTGAGACTGCAAAACACAGAACTCACATCACAACGTAGCAACCAAAACAGCGAGCTAAAGAGAGTCTGAACGTCAGCGTGACCGGGAGTAAGCAACACAAAGAAATCGACAAACCTGCTAGGACGACAGAACGGAGGGCTACGGAAGGATTGAAAATAAGAAAGACGGGTGTCAACAAGCAGCTTAGTTAAGGAAATCGCACGGGAAGGAAACAAGAAAAAAAGTCGCACGCATGCGTTTGCAGGTGCCTGGACGTTTCTTGCAAACAACAACCCTTCTCCCACTAATCGTGGGAGTCGGGGATGATTCGTTTGCCTGTGTCTGAACGCTTTTCATACTAGTGCAATGACATGACTGACAACGTCAACCCATATTTCACTCTTGCATCAGAAGCAAGGCGGTACTGGAAGCTTGAAGCTTGAATTTCATCGGGCAAGATCTTCTCGTTCAGGTAACTTATGTGCAGGACTTCCATCGACACATTGGGCATGTTGGTTATCTGGATACATACATTTGCCGTGAATCCAGTACTCTGGGTTCGAACTAACTTCTCATCGACATTGATTGTTGAATGCCACATACATACATCCATTTAGACGTCGTACCTTCCGAGATGTCGGCTGTGGGGCTGCGGTGATACGTACCCTAACTTGAAGCATGGAAGCAGAGAAGCATAGTTAGGCACGACTCTCCTTTAAATTGGGTCGTGTGACCGCTGTGCTTTATGTGAGTAGTGACGGGTCTTCTGCCTCCAGCACCGGCTACAGGGATTGTAAAACCAGCTGTCTCCTTTGTTTACAGCATACGTACGCAAAACTCCAGCCATGTGTGGTACCTTATATCAACCAGTAAAACCTACGTTTGTCTTCATCGGTTATCTTGTTTGGTTTTGCGACAAAAATCACTCCAGATCAGCATTGCTCCTGCTCGGACCAACGAAAAGCAGTATCGGAGGTTCATTTTGTAGCGGGGATAAGCCCCAAACAATGAGGAGACCTGGTTGCATTCAAGTGATGCAGAGAATAAATGTTGTGGTGCGCGGCCACATCGGTCCTGACACCGACACCTCACAGAAGAGACACCAGTGAACGGCGGCTGCCTGTAGTCTCCCGTGGTCAGACCTAGAAACAAGTCGCTCCAACTAATCGTGCACGAGTGTCATTGGCACTCTTGGACCCAGAAAACTGCAGTCCAACCGCGAGCGGACGACTTCGTCGGGTGTCCTTATCACCAACGGCGGTATGAGAAAGCATGCGAATTCGGCCTGAGGAGCATTGTTCTCCATGATGAGTCAAGCAGCTCCCGATGTCAGGTTCACTCGTATCTTCGGCAACGAAGCTACATAGACAGGTGCACTCGCACATGCGTCTTCAGAGCCGAAAGTGTTGGAGTGTAGGAAGATATGTAGATCCTCTAGGCATGGCTATAGCCCAGAACGATCTACCTTCATCCGTAGGAGTTAGCTGTATGAAGAGGGCTGTAGGACAATGTCATATTCAGGACCTGAGGCCTGAGGCTGTGCCGCAGTTTCATGCTGGAGGACATTGGCAATGTCCCATCATGATACAGTCCGTAGGAGTGCTCGCAACCTTATTCCTCGGCTCTAGCTGCATACCAGCTATGTTGCATTGCCGTGACGAAGTCGTCCTCGACTCCTTGAGCTTCGCCAGAACTATGAGAGCGAGAGAGGGAAAGGGAACATATTGGGGCTCCCGAATCTGCCAACGCAGTCGGCGCTACCCACACGACAGGCATGTGAAAGTGCCGAGAAAGCTGCATTGTGATTAGGTCATGGAAGAAGTAAAGTTTTCCCACGCCTGCACAACGCCTCTGAGAGTTGGACAACGAGGAGGAGAAATCATAATGGCGACGAACGAAGCAGCAGCAACATCAGCTCCTCCAACCCCTGCAAACATCATCACCGCCCTGACTAGTGCCTTTAAAAGCCAAAATGGCGAGGCAGCATCGAGCACGCGCATAGCCCAGCTCCTCGAGCAGAATATGGGCCAGCTTGGAGAGCTCATGCGGCAGGGCAAGCTCACTGCCGTGCAGATCCAGCAGGTCCGTCGGCTTTTAAACCAAGTGAGATTTATTTATCTCACCTGGGCGTCTTATCTGTAGCTGAAAGATTACGCTGAAAAACACAAGTCCGCGACCAGTGCTGCTTCGGGAAGTGTGGCCGGCACTTCGACTGCAAATGGCGGTACAAAGGTACGACTCGATGGGTAGGATCCCCCTTTGTGCTACTCATTTCTTTGTGGTAGACTGCTGCAACAACTGCCACCGCCTTTAAAAGCGGGTCGCCAGCTCCTGTACTTACATCCACACCTGGTGACGGTTACCCCATTAGCCAGACTCTCAACACCACCAATCCAGGGCCCGTTCAGTGGGCAGCTGCGCAGCAAGGAAGGCCAACTCTTACAGGCGGAATGACCAGTGGCAGAGTGTCGGGTGAGTACCTGGCGATTATTTGCCCGGAAAGCAACAGCCTCCGTCTGGTTAGTGACTGAGATCATTTCATCAGGCACCCCAGCTCAGATCGCACGATCAACGGACGACGCTGGTATGCTCAGCTTAGAGGACAACCATTCACGAAGAAAGAATACCCCAGGAGATCAGAGCATGAGACGATCAATACAAGACCTCGTCTCAAGTGTCGATCCCAATGTACGGATTGAACCTGAGGTGGAGGATGTAAGTCACTGCACTTGTGTGTCTTGACGTGTCCCTCATTGTGTCATCTACAGTTACTGCTTCAAATCGCCGACGAGTTCATCGACTCGGTCACGAACTTTGGCTGTCGACTAGCAAAACATCGCGGCGGCGACACGCTTGAAGTCAAAGACCTTCAGCTTCACCTTGGTATGTCTGATCAGTAAATTCTTCTTCGTTCTAGTACTCATTGCTCTGCCTCAGAACGCAACCACAATATCCGTATTCCAGGATTTGCATCGGATGACACACGAATAGCCTTATCTCAGGCTGCTGTAGCACCTTCCGTGCCTACTGCGGCAACAAAGAAAGCAGCCCAGGGCACGTCCATGACTTTGCGCAGCCACCGCTTGGCGCAGGTGCAACAAGCAAAGAGGGAGAGCAAGCTCGCATAGTTGATCGGACATTATCGCTTTCTTTGTTACACACGTTGTACGCACACATGTATTCTATCTCGCATCACACCGTCGTCCTATGCCGTTGAAAAAATGTACAAAATATATGATTAGAAGGTGCGCATATACCTCTATGTATATATATATATATAATGGGTATACTAGGCGACAGCAAAGTCACACAGATCAGCTACGCTCCTCTAAATGCATAGAGTCCAATTTAAAAATAAGCATCATGACACAGCACGACACTCGACACCGTGCCGGAGCTCTGCCATCGCAGCATGGTGTTGGCCGATAGCAATGACAATAAAAATGTGCCAGATTGCATGGGAACCACCACCACACCAGTCCAGCCAGTGAGAGTACCGCTCGGGAAGGAAACGCTCCGGGATGTTTGTTGCGTAGAAGACGAGGCCAATGAGGTATGATGTGATAGAGGGCCAAATGGGATCTAGAGAAGTCTATCAGTACAGTAAAGTATGGTAGAAAAAGGGACTCACTGATGAAGGCCCACATCTGCGCAGGTGATTGCAAGTATGAAAGGGCTGCCATCGGGGCGGCAGCAGTAAATGCCAGGGACAGAAAGAAAGCAATGCGGCAGTGCTGAAGGGATCAAATCAGTAAGGAATTCAAAGAACAAACAATAGCTTCACTTTATACTCGGCTTGATCGAACCATTTGAAGAATGGGAATGCGTTCCCTGCAATCCCAGTCATCAAGCAACAAACAAGAAATGCGTTTCCCACTTCTGGATGACAATTCTGGAAGCCATAGTATACCACAGTGCCAACTGAGGCGCTGATAAGCCTGGAGCGATGTGAATAAATTAATATGTCCAAGAAATCGCCAAATTGTACTCACCATCCAATACCTACATAGTCTATCCGCGCACAAAGCTCCATGCCCTGTGGATGTGCGCAGCCAGCCATGGTGTGCCAGAGCACACTGCTGAAGAGGCACAGAAGTGTAAATGATATGAATGCCACCTCCGGGGCGTCTATGAGAGTCGATGCATTGAATATGGATATTAAGTTGACTAGCCAAAGAACGAATGGAACGAGATGCGTGTGTATGTTCACTTTGTGGTGGTCAGCGTGCAAAAAAGATTTATAAAATAATAACATACATGTTTCATTGTGTACAGCGAACAACGACATGATAATAAGCGGCCATTTTTCAAGGGGAATGAACCTGATGCACGAATAAACATATTGCAAAGAGGATAGGGGATTGCCACATACCGATATCCTCCTTTTACAAATTGGTTGTTTCGCCATTTTGGCGGAAGGTCGACGTACTTAATTAGCCGTGATCCTTGGAACGATTGTTTTACTGCACGAGCAATGTCCTTCGCCGCTACTTCTAAAATAGCCTCTGCTTCAGTGACATCATCAGATAGCTCAGTGATGAGTTCGGAGGACATGATGGAATCAATGAGGCTGGATAAACGTGAATTTCCCGGGAGACATGGGAGCTCACTAGAGCGAGGGTCAAATGAACGTAGGTGTGCATGGAAGGACTGGAGGCGAGCGGAAAGAGTTGGCAGATAACCGGAAAAGTCAAAGTCGGAAAAGCGCGAGCAGGCATGTTCTAATAGTGATGTGATGTCGCTCGGAGCTAGGGCTGGCATGTGTGGACGGACGTCCGGAATGTCAGGTAGACGTGAGCGGACGTCGCTCAGGGAAGGAACGTCAGGGAGTTCAGGGAGATGAGACTTTACTGGAGACATGTCAAGGAGATGGAGGTCCGGGAAGTGAGAGCATACGTCCGTTCGAATACTACGGAGCATCTCGAGGGCATCTTTGGCCCATTGTCTGGCTTCTTCGACAGAGTGACCACCCTTACTCCTCAAAGCCTCAGTGAGGTGAAGGTCAGTAATCGGCGTGATTGGAGACTCGAGTTTGGCCAATCGCGTCTCAATGTCTTCTAAGTACGACAGGACAAGGTACCTGAGCGCAATAAAAGTTTCTTTAGCTGAGTTAGATGAGAGGTCGAGTGCCTCAAGTGAATGAGGCAGGCGCTGGCAGATAGCCAGACGAAGGTTGCGCTGGGCATCGTTCGTTGAAAAGCGGCGTCTGTGACGAGGACGGAGGTCATTATTAGTCTCCGTCGCAGTCGAAGACATCGAGCAAGAGGAGTAGAAAGATGGAAGACGGAAGGAAGAACGAACAAAAGCCTATCTCAGGCTGTAGACATGCCAGTCTGAACTCGGCAGTCACAAGGGGCACGTCGGACATCCTCCGAGGCACATCCAAATATAGTATCTCCTCGGCGCAACTGCCGCACATGGCTTGTTCAGACCTGAACGGGATCAAGCTCAGTTTGACGGCTGCTCTGTGCATCAATGACTCACTGAAGGAGCCTCTTGAAGGCTTACTAAAACTCGCGTCTTCTAATTGACCTTCAGGATAACCAACTACACTGATACCCAACAAATCCCATATCATGACCGTCGCTTCAGGACTTCCTCAACTGCTCGTTGTAGGTCTGGGTAACCTTCCATTTCCTCAAACCCGCCATAGGTGAGTCTGCATTGCATGCAGTCGACGGCTGACGTGAAAGACTGACTGAAATCGCAGCATCGGACATCTCATAATCGACGCTTTAGCTGCAAGACTGCACATACATATGTCCACTGACAGGACGATGGGCGGCCTGACTGGACGTTCAAAGGTCACGCTTGGTGAAACTGCCGTATCTCTGACACTCCTGAAACCAAGTTAGTGATCCAACTGTTTCAATTACTCAGTGACTTTGAATCCTCGGCTAGAACCCCTCATGAATATCACCGGTCCAGCAGTAGCAGCAGCTCTCCGCAAGTCTGTCAAAGCCTCAGATGCAATGGTCATCATCCACGATTCGCTATCTCATAAACCGAAGGCTTTGTCTCCAAAAATAGGTGGCTCTGCAAATGGGCACAATGGTGTTCGTAGCGTCATATCTGCACTTGGAGGTGAAACACAGTTTCATCGATTTCGCATTGGCATCGGTAGAGGTCCCGGTGATGCAGCGGAATATGTTCTAGCAAAGCTTCCACAGGAAGAGAAACTCTACTGGAATGGAGATGGCATAGGCCTCGACCTTATTTGTAACGAACTCGAACGTGTCGCCCGCAAACAGCTTGAGAGCCAAGGCTTACCGTGACCATCGTGGGTTTGCACTTCAACGTTTTGTAAAGTTACTAATAAGTTTGCCACAGACTTCGGACAAGCATGCGGTATTCGCGACGACGCGTGGCAAACCTTGTCTGGATCCTGAGGTGTGACGGCTTCATCTCGAGTTTATCTCCGTCCAATGCCGACGGGCCCAACACAGTGCCGTAGCAGAACGATGCTTGTACTTCTCATTTTCATATGTACATCACATATTCTGCGTGGCGTGGCCATAACGATGGATGCCATGCCTTCAGAGCCACGTCACGGGCCTACTTAACCATCACCGACTTGCATGCAATACGATGTTCTTCCATATACACGTAAGGTGCGGTATTTCTATGTGCTGATGCCGTTGTCCGAGAGTGTTCGGGTCATTAGATGAAAGCATAAAAATTTCGCAAGATCTACATAAGCGCCGCGTTATAAAGCGTTAGCTTCCCCACAACACAAACTGAACAATAATGGTTGATTGGGTGCTGGTCTCCGTTGCTGCGGCGTGCATTGGCACGACGTACGCTCAACCGTCGCCAGAAGTTCAAGTACGTATCAGTGCTGCTATAGCAGCTGCCCAGGTATCCAACTCCACGGATATCGACTATACTGCTTTCGTTAATCCTTTCATCGGAACTGGTGAATCCCTTTTTCTCGGCAGCTTCGCGTGTTCTGACAGCTGTTCCCTAGATTACACCAATTATGGGGATGTTTGGTAAGTTTTACCTCCTTGACGCATCATGACGCGCCGAATGATAACCTACGTGCAGCCCAGGCGCGTCAGTGCCCTTCGGAATGGTGCGTCTCATTTTGAATACCACAACAACGTGCCCACCTATTTCCAGGTCAAATTCACCACCGACTTCACGGGTTATGCGCCAGCGGGTAAGAATCAGCGTTGTCCTGCAGGTCATCTGTCCATCTAATATAATGCGTGATAATCACCCGTAGGGTACATTTCGGATCCATCCCAGAAAGCTCGCGGCATAAGCCCGATGCATGACAGTGGCACGGGGTCCTCCCTCGGGACATATGGTAACTTCGAGGTCATGCCCCTCCTCTGTCCTTCAGGATTCGACACGTGCACGACCACACTGGAGGCGCGTGAGAGGTATAGGAAGAACGACAGCGATGGTATGGCGTCGTGTATTGTATGAGAGTCCTAGGAACTGAAATGAGGGGGACAGACGCGTACCCGGGCTACTTTTCGCTAACTTTGGATAACGATATCAAGATGGAAGCTACGTCGACGCGTCGTGCTGGGCTAGAACGCTTCACGTTCCCAGTGGGCTCGAAACCGTACTTTGTGCTCGACCTAGCCAATGACTTACCGGCGTCATTTGCGGGTGGGACCCTCGATATCGATCCAGAAAATGGCCGTATCACAATTGGTGGCCACTACGGCTCCAGGTAAGCCATCGAATGTCCTTTTGGTCAGTAATGTGGTAAATCGGCTTACTTTGTGCGTTAGCTTCGGTCCCGGTTCGTATCACTACCAAGCATTTGCTTGTTATGACCTCTTGAACAGCGGAACTCAAAAGCTGAGTGAATATGGCGTCTGGACGGGTGATACGTGAGTCCTGCGCGCTGCTGGTGCATACTTGAACTAACAATATGCTCATCAGCTACGGCCTCGATGCAAAAGGACTCGGTCAGACTCACCTCAATCTGTCTCAGAACGTGATAGGCGGTACACCCTACCAATCAGGTGCACTCTTCTCATATGAGGGCAATCCAGAGGAAGTGATCCTTCGTGTGGGCATTTCATTCGTATCGACAGACCAGGCCTGCGCCAATGCTGAGGAGGAAATTGGCACAAGTTCCTTTGAGGAAATCCAGACGGCGTCCAAGGCTCTTTGGCAGGAAAAGCTCAGCAAGATCGAGATTGATGTTGTAAACACACCCCCTAATGTCACGGAAATGCTGTACTCGTCGCTATACCGCGCATCATTGACTCCTGTAGGTGTAAAACCGTCGCAGAAGAGCTGAGCTAACCGTGTTTTTGTAGAATAACGCTACTCTAGAAACCCAAGGAGCGTTTGCTAACACAACATCATTCTACTTTGACTCTCTGTACTGTAGCTGGGACACGGTGGGCAGCAATGATGTTATATCATAGTTTTACTCACTCACATGCGCAGTTCCGAACATTTTACCCCCTCATGACTCTTCACTCTCCGGTCGAATTCGCACAAATCGTGGACAACTACATCGACGGATGGCGTAAACTCGGCTGGATGCCGGAATGTCGCGCGAACAACCTTCCCGGGTGGACCCAGGGCGGGTCAAGCGGAGACAACATTGTCGCCCAGTTCGCAGTTAACTATCACAATGAGGCGCAAGCGCTGGGAATCGACCTCGACGAGCTGTATGCTGCGCTCGTCACGGACGGGCAAGTGAATCCGCCAGAGTGGAATACAATGGGCAGGCAGGTGAATGTTTATAAGTAAGTGCGTGGCTTTGTAGGTGATATGTTGGGTATGAGTGCTGAATTAAATTTGCAGGCAATTTTCCTACGTACCTTTCGCGGTTCTAGACACTGGGAGCACCGGTAGGCAGACTAGGGAGGGAAGTAGAACTCTTGAGGTGAATAATTCGTCATCAATGCTGGTTTTCTGATCTCAAGACTCGGCTGTATTCATTTCAGTACGCATTCGAGGATTTCGGTATTCGCCAGGTGGCACAAGTGCTTGGGAAAACGGACGATGTTGAATACTACACGAACCGATCATATGTGAGCAAACACAAATGGCGTCCAAAGTCGCTGATGTCAATTGTGACAGTGGTACCGCAATGTCTGGGACGCTACTGTGGACAGTGATGGATACCAAGGTGTGTTGAGTCAATGTGGTGATAGGGACGTCAATCCTGACGTTACGGTAGGATTCATGCAGAAGAGATTCTCCAACGGAACCTTCTATAACACCGACCCTGTCGACTGCTCGCCGAAGGACACTAGGAGCAGTCAAGAGTGCTCGCTTCAGGAGGATAACCTGAGCGGGTTTTACGAATCATCGTCGTGGGAGTATAGTTGGTGAGTGTCGCTGTTCTTGCGTAGAGACGTGTTGGATAGCTTATGAGGAACAATAACAGGTATGCACCGCATGATACGGGATACTTGATTGAGCTCATGGGAGGAAACACGACGTTCACGAATCGACTCGACCATTTCTTTGAAGTAGGTTCGTCCTACGGGTCGTCCTAACTAATATTCACCTTGATGACCTCCAGGATGGATATTACCTGGCGGGCAACGAGCCTTCATTCCAGGTTAGTCTATGAAACATACAAGGTTGAAACGGTGCTGACCTATGGGGCAGACACCCATTGGATACCACTATGCAAACCAACCTTGGCGCTCCGTCGACCGTGTCCGCGATGTTGTCATAAATAACTTCAATATTGGTAAAGGTCGAAAAGCTAGCTGATATGGAGTGATGCTGAATCAGATCCAGACATCGCGGGTATTCCTGGAAACGACGATCAGGCCGCAATGGCAACACTCCTAGGGTTCCATCTCTTAGGACTTTACCCAGGTATGCTTTTCATTTGCTCACCCACCCATTGAATTAACCCAGGATGCAGTTCCCTCAACGACGCACTACCTTATCGTCTCTCCCTTCACGCCAAAATATACCATCCACAACGCCTACCTCAACACTAGTACAACGGTAACTGTTACCAACTACTCTGCCGCGTCTGTAGCGTACCCAATACCCGCTGGCGTGCCCGCATACGTGAAAAGTGTGACGATCAATGGAGTGCCTGCGAAAAGTAGATGCTACATTGATTTCTACGATACGTTTAGAGTGGGTGGGGAGATCGAGATAGTTGTCACAGAGGATAAGACGTATGATTGCGGTGGACTCGTACCAGAAAGTTTGTCGATGGGCGGATTTGCTAGTGCACGGTAGATGTTCAAGGTAATAGGAGGATGACTTGGATAACCGTATTGTCATATTATTTGTTCTTATTTAGACACATAGGTCCGTGCAATAATTGAATGCCTCGACTCAAGATCGGATCGTTGCTCGATCACAAATTAAGCAGCTGCAAGGTCCAATAAGTCGCGTCATCGTCCACGTTCCTCCCTGGCGCATGTAATAGTATGGAGAATGTCATCGCCATCGGTGTTGGGCTTGCTCTACGCGCCGTCATCGATATCTTGACTGACAGTGACTATAGGCTTACTGGTGCGTCTTATTACACGTAGCAGAATGTTAACATAGCTCACCTGATTATCATTCATCAAGGTACACTCGTCGGGCTCTGGGAAGGATTTGCGCTCTCTCATTTCCTCCAGAAAAATCCTCGAAATCCCAGTGATGCATATCTTGCCCTTGCTACTCGCTTCGCTATCGACTTTATGATCACGAACTCGATAGTCCGTTTTTTCCTCACTGGCGCATGGACAATCGTTGGGCTCCTCCTTGCTGAAATAGCACCCAGCGTGTTGCGAGAGACAGGGCTGAGGCATGTATACAGGGCGCTAAGGAAAGACTTTAAAGCCATGAGAAGGGCCATGCCACGATGGAGGATCGAGAATGATATACGGGTCCCAAATATATCTATCTCAAATCCTGTACCGGGCTTGTTCTCTCGTCCCCCAGCATCCACCGTTGCGTCAAGCACGCGCGCTGTTCCGCCAGCTTCTCCAGCGCCAATCCTGCAGAGACGCTCGCGATCAGCCCCCGGCCAAGCAACCCCTTCCGAGACGAATACTCTTACCCGTGAAGTTCTTCCAGGACCCTCCCCAGCCCTCATTCATATTGATGTTGACCCTGGTTTTCCTCCGTTCGACCCAGACCCGCACTCTCACCGGTCGTCCTATCTTTCTAACAGTTCTGATTCTGATCCTTCAAGGCACGACCCTATACAGATCCCAGATGACGACCGGGCACATAACACCGTGCCGTCCCACGCGCAGGAACAGGTGCAGGAACAGGGTCCAGACCTTAGCGTGCTCAACCTCACTCCACCCGTAGCCACAATCGAAGTAACAACCTCAAGTGCTGAAATCGTCTCCCCAACTCCCCGCGCGCGCATTGGAGCTCTCCCTACCATCACAGATTTCGAGATTAATCGCTCCGTCCATGCACCGTCGGTTCCACCATCAGAATCACGCCCGGCTTCCCGTGTAAGGAACCTACTCTCCACCATTGGAGTGGGCATATTCAGCCAAACCGCTCGTGCGCATTTTGGGGAGGTTGTTTCGGACCGAGGCCCTGATGTCGGGCAAGTACATGCGCCATTCCATCAACAGGCGAGCTCGGTGGGGGTGTTGGAACAGGCACAAAATCAGCCTACCTCCGGTAACCAGCTGAATTCTACAGAAGAGCACAGCAGCAGCAAATGGCCACACTCGAGGCTTCGTCACCCTGAAGATACTATCGTGCCCGATGGTGCTGCTAGAGCCGAGAATTTCGTCGGCGGGTTTGTCATACAGGCAGGCAGGCAAATGCCCCAGCTCTCCGGTACGCCTCAAGCGCAGTCTGGCAGTGGCGGTGTGCACGCGAGCTCAGCGCTTGGATTGAGCACGCTCCTCCCCTCATCCAATATGCCCGCTGCTCCCCCGAACCCAGCACCCCAGACCAAGCCGCCAACGCCAACGCCAGCGTCCCAGGCCAGACAGACGAACCAAACTTCGCATCCCAGATCCGGCACTCCAGCGCCCACTTCACACACGCCCGCATCTGCGCTTCCACCCAAAATCCCCACACCCGCACCTGCGCTTCCACCCAAGACCCCCACACCTGCACCCCCTTCTAGAGCCCCCACACCCATCCAACCATCCACGTCCCAACGAAAATCCAGGGCCATAAGCCCAGATCTTACATCCACATCCATGCGCAACCCTACCGATTACGACCCTTCGGACCCTGTTCGTCCCATGCCAGGCCTCAAATCACCATCGACCGAACACGACCCAATCGTCCCAGATGTACGAGCGCGCGGTCCATCTGCCACGACGAACTTCAATCTGTTAGATACCGCCGATGATTATGATCCGCCACCGCCATTTAAAGAATTCGAGTCGCCTGTGCATCCGCGCGGGGCAGATTTCGGTGCAGGCGTTAACTATGGGAAGGGGCTAGGAGGCGAACAGGTTGTGGAGGGTTCGGGTTCGGGTGTTGTTACCGAGCCGGCAGCTGCCAAAGGTGGCGCGGAAGGAGACGAGCCGAAGGAGCTCGCCAAAGAAGAAGCAGGCAAGGCAAATGTAAACAAAAATATCGACGAAGTGGATGCTGTGGGTGGAGGAGACGCAGGTGGAGGTACTAACGAGACAATTGAGACTTCTCAAGACTCCGGGAACCACGTTCGAAGTGCAGATCCCCCAAAACAAGAGGAGAGTGCTCAAAAGAAAGTGAAAGATGGCCAGGAGCAAGAAAAGAGCATACAAGACGGGGATGGTAATCAAGAAGCGGTCAATGATAGCCAAGCCACATGCGAAGGTGCCAAAATTGCAAGCGGTGATAACGGTGACACCCAAGACGCAGGTGGTAATACCCAAGATGCAGGTATGTCTGTCTGTCTACCTACATTTATTTGAACCAAGCCGAAGCTTCATCTTCAGATACTGCCCCAAAACCAGAGCCAACGCGTCTTACCCCCGAACAAAAAGAGGCTGAAACTCACCGCACTGCCTTCCTATCTAAAGAAGTGGCTCGACTGGAGGAATCACGGAAAAAAATGAAGTCTTCTGATAATCAGGGTCTTTCCGAGATAAAGGCCCGTCTGAGTGTCATGAAAGAGAGAATTTCAAAGACAGATTTCGCTGGTGCGTTCATATTCCAAAGATCTTACACTGTCTTACCTCTACTCATGTTTACCACGAACAAAGACCCACCCAAAGACCCACCACCCGCTCCCGAACTCGCCACCTCTGGGAAACCTATTAATGAAATCTGTAGCATGCTGACAAAAATCATCGTTGAACTGCTTCTTGAGCGAAAGGACGCTGGGCCGATTGATGTCACAGTGTCTTATTCGAAGGGCAAGCGGTCACAAGTGCTTGAGCTACTGAAGGGTTTCACTGACGAGTGAGTTTTTTTGGCTTCAGTAAAAATTCTTTACATGTATGATTGCTGACACTGACGGTGCAGGAACAATTTCCGTTCTTCGGATCCTGGGCCACTTTCGATTGTGATAACAATGTAATTGAGGTTGTACGAGAATACGATACCCCCGACGAGGATACCCTCCCTCATTGATGTTCTTGATGCGCTCTCGACGAGAGTGATTGCGATGATAGCAAATATAATTATACTTGTTGTATTATACATGCAGTGTAACGCGGTACTGAAGTTGTTATGTTTGATCAGATACACCGAAAAACGCGGGTCTATTAGGGCTTCGTGCTGTCTCGAGCGCACCTCCCGACCTTGAGCACTCCAGCTTTCTCTCGAACGTGAATCCTCAATGCTCTGATTGGCGTAGCGGATACACGCTGGGTGTCAAGACGGGCGAAGGAGCAATGCGGGGCTTGCGAGGAATTAGAAATTGGGATACTACAGAGTGCGGGGCTTGCGCTCGTCCGCAGCGTAGGGCGCGAGGAATTCCCACGGGAGGGGGGATTTAGACTTTGTATTACGTTATTAATACGGCCATATATGTGCATCACCTTCAATTCACCGCATGTCACGGCAACATAACATACATCCCTATTTCCGCTCGTCAACTGTCCACTCAGGCGTGATTCACCGTGGAAACTTGATCTTGTCAATTCCTAATTATTATAATATAAAATAATGACATCCTGTGTGTGCACCCCTCCTCTTCAACCCAGTCGTTATGATCCGAGTTCCTTCATTGCTCGCCATCCGCCACCGTTTCTTGCCCACAAAATTCGTTTTACTTGGTGTTTTTATCACCTTCGTGATTGCTCTCTACACATTCTCTTCTCCGTACTCTTTTCGCTTATCAGAGTGGTCTCCATTACTCTCACTGCAGCGACAGCGCAGTTCATGCACTCCAGAACAGTGGTCGAGCGGGCGTTGGGTATATACCCCGACCTCTGACTTAGAAACTTTGACTCGCCCAGAACAGGCACTTGCCTTAGCTGGCTTCCAGGGTTGTGCTGCAGACCGTGAATACCGCTGGCATTTGGGCGTAGACTTTGAAGAACAATGGGGCAGATTTCCAAACGTTTCTTCATACAAATGGGTACCTTCGAGCCAGTGTAATGTACAGCCTCTCAACGGCGCAGCAATGATCAAGGACATGGTGGAGAATGGCGGCTGGTTTTTAATTGGCGGTAAACTCAGTTCCATCCTTTCCGCCCATTTTGTTCTCATTTTCCTGATTTATAGACTCCATAAGTGAAAACCACTTCTTCTCGCTGTCGTGTCTGCTGTACCCCCATGTCCGAGCAACTCCAAATCACACGCTAAACGCCCCCTATGACCACGCATGGCAGCAAAATCTGTACCTGTTGCCTACGTCACCTATAATATCCGAAATCACCATGCCGGAGGGCTTCTCATTCGAACACACGCCACTCGTTTCGTTCCGACGTGTTGACCTCCTTCTTAATGGAACAGAATTAGACGCCTTATATCACAGTTCAGCATTCCCTGGTGGACTCGCAAACTCGGACATTGAAAATCCCATTTCTATACCAACCAAAGCAGAGTCTCTATTCGGCCGTGAGCCGTTTTGGTCGGTGTCCCCTTCAGAATACGTCACCGCATTCCTTGATTCACCTCCAAATGCCAACTACGGCACGCTGGTTGTGAGTACTGCCGGACACTGGACGACATCCACTCTAGGTGCATTCCACGACAAAAACGGGATACTTGGATTCTTCAAGTTCGCCATACGAGCTTGGGCAAGTGAAGTTCAGGACGCCATCACAGAATACCGTAAAAAAGGGGGCAAACGTCCAAAACAGGTAGTTGTCAGAGCGTATCTACCCGGCCACGAGAACTGTCATAACATCTTCGACCCCACGGAGGATATCACGCCCTGGGTCGGCGTGCCTTGGAATTGGCCGTGGATTCCGGACTTCAACACAGAATTCCAGGTCAGTGCCCTCGAGATGATTGCGAGGTGTGAGGATGCTGACTTTTTTTTTCGTCTCATCAAGGAGCTGCTGTCAACATCACCTGAGTTCCCGGACATCTTTTATCTTCCGATTGAAAGACCGGGGAGGCTGCGCCCTGATGCTGTAAGTCAACTCTAGTCTCACGCACTGTTCAGATCTCTCACAAGTGCCATACCAGCATGTCACTAGAGATTGTTTGCATATTATGTCAGGTGCTGGTGTTCTCGAGGGATGGTCGCACTACATCTGGCATTTTGTCACACGTGAAAGCCATCGGAAGGATCTGATGACCCCGCACTCGCCGCTTTGAACCAATCCTTTATTTTTTTGCCAGCCTGAAAGTACTCGAAATTACAAATCCTTTGTAGTTGTAGATAGTTTCAACGTCTAGTTCGTCTGTTCTAATTTCTTGTTCCACGTCAATAGTCTAGTGTACGTATAGGTGTGTATGTAGATAGTTTCAACGTCTGTTCTAATTTCTTGTTCCACGTCAATAGTCTAGTATATGTATAGATGTGTAGGATGCTCGCAGTTCCTGCTGCGACAAAAAAAAATCATACGAGTATCGTCGGTAATGTCAACTCTTGTTGTATATGCTCGCCTATGCAACAAGAGTGCGGAGCCCCTCCCTTGTAATTAATCGGTGCTAAATTCATGATGACATGATATAGCTGAATGTAAAACGTCAGGACGGTATTCGTGAGACTCGTACAGGAACTTACTTCAAACATCGGTGGAAGCGGATACCTCGACATGTTCTGCCCCTGCCCAAAGCTCCCCGGAACGGCGAGAGGAAGCTACTTCTACGTGTTCTGCCCCTGCCCAAAGCTCCCCGGAGCGGCGAGAGGGTTCAACAGGGATAGTAGCACCGAGGATAGAGGATGCGAGAGCGAGAGCAACCATGCAGCGAGACAAGTTCAACATATTGCTAGTGGGATTGGACCAAACAGACGTGTTTATGTAGAAGATGTTGTGATACAGGAGTGATGAAAATTGGAATGCTTGGAGTCCTCATCCAATTTATACGCATGTTATTACCCCCTGGCATGCACTGCGCGAGGCTGGGTCGGCATGAAGTCCGAACCACGCAGGATTGATCCAACAGTTGAAGAGTGCAAAATAGGTTCATCATCAAGCAGTGGGCACTCCTTGGCGACACCGCGAACCGTATCACTCAAATACGGGGACGCTCGGTGACGATGAGCCGCCAGTCTCGGATATTTTCAAAGGACTGTCTCAATGATGGCAGATGGCCGTGCAGGCGGAGGTCCTACTAAGTGCAGACTATGTTTCGTTTCCTGACACAGCAACTTTGGGCGTCGCAACGCTACCGGCTCACGTCCGAGTACGGTTCATGATAACCCACCGCCGCGCGAGAGCGTTTGGATACGCTACTAGCATCCGGTGTTTAGTTTATCGTGAGCACGCAAGCGATGCTGATGCCTGGAGTTAGTGGTAGTCAATGTGACGACCATGAGCGGAAAAATCCAAAGGGGAATCGCACCTGCCTCCCAGACGTGCGCAGCCTGTACTTGAAGCTATTTCCAGTATCAGGGATCGGTAGCCGTATGGAAGAAGGAACGACTTGTCTTCCTTCTATTTTGGTCTGCCTAGGGGGGAAACCAATGCTCGCTGTAGGACGATGTGGTCGTGTAACCTCGCTCGAGATGCATATTTTGAGCATCGATGTTGAGAAATATGATCATCGAGTGTGTTTGCGGATTATTTTTATTACTTACCTGTACCACCAAATCAAGGCAAGCGGGTTAAAGAAGGTTGAAGACTGTTATCTTGGCGAAAAATAGTCTTTCTCCAATTCGGCGTTATCAATTCGGTTGTCAACCTTGCTTCAGGGGGTTTTGCACATGCATCATGTCCGACAATCGTGTTGTTCGCGCCCTGCGGTCTGTCGGGATTATCATATGTAATTACGACTTGTCGTTGCCATCAGTGCGCGATCACAACCAATTCAATAGAAACACCTATACGCATGTGGTGTGCACTGTATTAGACTGTATTTTATGGCCGCTGGCAAGCAAAAAATGGTAAGTCGCGCATTATAATTTCCAGAATTTGGCGCATCGAGATTCCTCACTATGTACCCCTTCCGTACCGTTCCTGCCTGACTACGTCCCCTCCGTCAAGCCAATCCACGGTCCTTTATCCGAGTATTTTCGACATCGATAGGGTCACCTTTCTCAGAAAGGCTCGCGGTTCGAGAATTGTTAGAATCCCGACCGGGGAAACCCGTGCTGCAGGCCCAAATGTATATCGGTAGCAATAAGACTCACGCTCCAGCGACGGGATCCGAGTCGTAGTGGTCAAAGACATGCCACAGTCACATACACAGAATTGCTTCTACGTGTCCGGTACACATATGATCAGGACTTGAATCGGAGAATGCCTACAACCCCGACTCACTGCCAGACCTTAGATTCGTCCGCAAGCCTCAGGAGACAGATAGAGTACTAAGAGTAGCACCTTCAAACGGTTGTGCTTCAATGTGAAAGGGGACATCATCCAGCTAGACTGATCCTTTCATGCACTATTACTGTCGGGTGACAACATAGTAGTTGCGGACTGACACTGTTTCCCCAGTGCACACACTCAGACTTCGCGGACCAGCACAGAAACCTTTAACGCAGATAGCTCGCTCTTCAAGGAAATGTTGTGCGGAATGGTAAGTAGTTGAAAATCATTAGGCGAAAATTATTCTCATCTAACACGCTCCCCGAAACCAGCTGTGAGAACCTTCTAACACTGCTTTTCAACTGCTGCGAACCCCTTCACGAATGAATGCTTCTTTCGCTGTCAGTCTATAGCGCAAGGGCACGTAAAACTCTTGTTCGATCAGTCATGTTGCTTGCCTTGCGAATCGCTGATCTTGTCGTGAACGGCGCTTTGAAATAGCAATCCCGAAATACGCGTCGGTACAGCTCCCTCAGCAGCACGCGGAACAGCCGCTATATTTTTCTAGTAAGCACCAATCAAACAATCGTTCATATAGACTGACATAGCTTTGAAGCCATTCCCTTTATTTGCCAAAAAGCGCCGGCGACTGGTGTCGCTTCAGGTTCGGTTGCCCTGTTGTCTCCTGCTGTAGCAAGCAAAAATGACAGCCGAAGGACAAGTCGAGGGGCATTATTTACCTCGGCTGGGTGACACTTCCTCATGAACGCCTGTTTGCCAAAGGGTACCAACGAGGGGCGTCATTCGAGCCTCCGCCGCATGCCGACCATCAGAGCGGACTGCGTGCGATTAGTACAGGGCGCCGGGCAACAAGTTATGACTTCTTGCCTTTGCTTGGGATTATTTCGTCGTGGACGGCTGATATCCACAGCTTTCCACCCGTAGTGTCGGCAGCGGGAACTATCACAGGAATCAGATAACGGCTGCGGGCGACATCTGAAGATCCACACCAGCCATCTCCAGGGCAGCTTCTTTACACAGGTTATCAATATTCATCCGAGCTGGAACATAATCCGTACCTGTGTCTTTAACAACTGCGCGGGCGGCGCACGAAATATGAAGTGCGCATAAAACGTAAATGAGGGACAGAATGTCGAGGTACATCGTGAAACTGTTGGCGAGAGGTGAGCCCCACGATTTTGATGGAATACCCTATGACCAAGCTGAATTTATAGCAGAACCGCATGCCTCATGGATGTGGGGTCTTCGTAGCCTTGAAAAAGCGACCGAGGTCTCTACCAAGAGCTCTACAGAATCGGCCCCGGCCTTACCCATATTATCCGCGCTTCGGTGCTGAAGCGAGCTACCAGAGCACAGCAAGCGCGCACAATGTATCGGAAGCTCAGCTGCTTCGAGAGGTGTGAGAGTAGCTTCTCAGGCTACCGCAGTACCATAATCGCTGGGATGTCCAGAACACGCCGTGTTATCGACACAACAAGCAAGCGAATAATCACTGGCTGATAGGCCTTCTGCACTAAAACGAGACTTTCAATAGTCTTCCTTGTTCCGCGTTAAGGCTCGTACATCAGCCCTAAACCCCGTCTTTATTTCATTAAGACGCAGGAGAGGTACTCCAACCTCGACACTCAGCATCTGGTCCTATAGTTACTACCTCTGATGTTTGGCGGTTAGCTAATGGATGATCCGACAATTGGAGATCACCAAAGACCAAGATGATGCCGGACTCCGGAGTGACAAGTGCAAATTTTTGTTCATCTCAGGATGCCCGACGCATACCTCGGGTATTTGGGTGCTCCGGAGTCCGAAGTGTTTGACTGCACATGTACCATGAATCACATGTCTGGCAGCTCCGCAAATCATACTTCACTGTGCACTGGGGCATAAGTACCAAAAACGCGTTGAAGTGATTATTCGCACAACATAAAAGACTATGTACAAAAGAATACAGTACTCGTACCGCATATCTGTGAGCGACCATAAATCAGAGCATAAAGAACAGAGATAGCGTTATCCAGCAGTATTTGTTTCCAGGAGATGAAATCGAGTGCGTGGTATAGGTTAGGTATCAATGTCGTGGCGCAATTGGTGGGGGTGGGTACTTGTATGGTTGAATGATGGCCGTAGGTCGTGATAGGATCCACACATACGAAACATGTGCGGGGACCGTTGTGAACATGACGCGCACTGGCTGGTGAAAGGCGCCGTATACATGATATTCGTGTGCGTGTAACACGCGAGCGTTTAAAACGTGATATTTAGAATGAATGGCGTCGTTGGGTCATTCCGGACCTTGAACTTGTTCCTGCAATGCGAGGCATTAGCGCGAAGCCACAACGGAAAGATCAAACAATAAAATAAAATCCGTCTCAGGCTGATAAAAGGCGGGGTAGAACAACACGAGAAAGAAGAAGAAAAACTTACTCTTTCACCCAATCTACAACAACGTTCTTCAAATCAGTTGTCTTTGCGTTTCCCTTCTTCTGCTTGTTGATATACCCAACGACAGCTAATGACTCTGCGTGGGGCGTTTCTAGGAGCATATCCACAATGGCCGTTTGCACAAGGTCAACAGCTGACGGGCCATCGATCCCTGAAAGGGTGAGTTGGGGTGGGGTTTCAACGTCAGCGGGAGGGTCTATGCATAGGAAGAGAAAGGGGGAGATTCAGCACTATGCCCGAAACCAAAAGAAACAAAATCAAAGAAGTACCTTCATAAACCCTCCTCTCAACTCTCACCCTGACCATCCCAAGCCTCTCCCTGATCCCATTCAGCCTGTCCACGCTCAATGCACTCGGACTTCCTCGCCCCGCCCCACTCTCCGCTTTCACGACCAGCATCTCTAGCTGCTTCAGCTCCCGCATCAAGAACTCCCCGCGTAGCGACTCGCGCTCGGTTTGCTCTAGTGTAAGAAGAGTCGGTTCGATAGGCGTCCCAACCTCCTTGAAGGGCGGTGGCGGCGAACTGGGGTTGCCGTACGAGAAGTCGGGTCCTTGTACCCCACGAACACCATGCTTCATTGTATCTGTGTCTATCTCTGTTGTACGCTGCACAGGAGCAGCCGCGTCCTGTATCGGACCGTCTGGGATGGAAAATGGGTCTGGTGCAGAGCCTGCCGGGTTTTGAGAGTCAGGGCCTGATATTTGAGCATGGGCAGAGGTCTGCTGTTGATCTTCAGGAATAGTCTCAGGTAGAGTGGAAGGTGCCTGTGCAGTGTCCTTTCGCGGTTTCTTCTTCTTTGCTGGTCTTTGACCGGCGGTGAAAGGAGGATTTGAGTTGCTGGCAGAGTCGTCCGCATTGGGGGTGAAATTCTGGAGAGAATCGAAGGCGGCCGTGTTGGCGTTGGCACTTGGGATACTATCAGTGTTTGATGGTTGAAAATTGTCTACAAGGGGTTGGGGATCGGTAGTTGTAAACGTCGTGACTGGAATGTCAGGAGGGGTTGGTGCGGGTGTTTGAATGGGGTTCACGGATGGGTTATGAGACGGCACATTAGATTGACCTAGTGCAAATAGAGGCTGAGACGTAATGCCTGACTCGACGGCATACACAGTAGACTCCATTGCAAACCCACCCACGAAAGCTTCGGGTGCAGCCACCTCGGCAGAAAACCCGCCTGCGAAAGCTGTTCCTCCAGTACCCAACAGAGTTTCTGACCTACCGCCGAAGATGGGTTCAGTCCTTGCGCTTGTTCCAACCACTGAACCCATCACTGATTCTTCGTCGTCATCAGCATACCTGAGCATTGAGGGTCCAGGAACTGAGCCCATGCGGTAATGTCCCGTTGCGCTGGGATGGTTCTGTTCTTGTCCGGCAGCTGGACGCTGCCACCCAGTCGTACTTGCCTCATGTTGAGTGGCATCAATTCCCACATCCGAGCGGGTCTTGTCACCGCGCGGCGCGCGGCTCAATATACTTCTTGCGCCAAATAGGGAGAAGACGCTGCCCATGACGGAGGCAGGGCGTGATTCTGGCAGTGGCATTTGGTGAGCAGGTATTGTAGGGAGGGAGTTGTTATGCATGTGATGTGCTGGAGAGTTTTCTTGGACGTTGGCGGTGATAATTTCGCCTTCGGATATCAGCGGGGGGATTTCGAGAGCACTTAGTTCTGGGTCCTGCCCTTGCTCTGGAGAATGTGAAGAGACGCTAACGTGCACCCAGCTCTCCTCATGGGTAGTTATAGGGTCATGTCTCGAAGGCCCAGAATCGGAGAGATGCGAAATATGCTGGGAGTGGAGGTCTACGGGTGGAAGACATGCGGGATCGACGGTGGTTGAGATCAATGCTGGGGATGGACCCGGAATGACTTCGCGTACGCGACTGAGCTCAGAGTTCGTCTCGGAAAGGGCTGGACGGCCTGGGTATGTCCCAGGTGGTGTGCGTCTCTTGTGTGTTTGTTGGGAGGGTGAAGCAGGAGGTACCGCACGGGTACTCGAAACGACAGATGATGGTGATCGTCGTGTAAACAAGCCAGACACGGGGTTCTTGATGGAAATCCTCGGGACTTTCGGGACTCGCAAGTCATTCTTGACCTTGAATCTTGGCATGGCCTTTATCATAGATCTCACCTCCCTCCTTAGTGACTTATAGATGCTCTTCAGTCCTGTATCGCGCCATATGCCGGGCGCGACGTCTGCAAGGAGGAGCCCAACCAGCGTCCACGCACATGTGAGGGCAAACCGAGAAAGCGAGTGTGAGAGGTAAATGTCAATTGCCATGCGCGTAGCAAGGGCGAGGTATGGGTCTTTTGACCTCGATCGAGAACGGGGATGCTTTGAGAGGAAGTGCGAGAGCACGACGCCTTCCCAAAGTCCGATGAGTATGCCTTGCAATGAAGTAAATTAGATACACTTGAAAAGTTTAAGACTGCTCGAAACGAACCTATGAGTTTGTGGTCTTTGCCTGTTGCAACGTCGAGCACGACGCGCAGAGCGATGCCTGCCCCAATTGAAAGTATGTTTTCCATGTCTTTTGTGAATGCATGAGTGCTGCGTCAAAGCCTATCAATATTATTCTTTTGTGCGTTCGGCAAATCCCGAACACCAACACTCACTCAACCATTGCTCAACCACTTTCAAGTTGCACATAATTTTATCTCACTCAAAGATTCGACTTGACGCACAATGACTAGTTGCTTTAGAGTGCAACGTACGAATTTGAACCATCAAAATTGATGCAGAAATGAGCAACGTGCTCGTACCAACTCAAACGCGGACTCGGAGTTCAAGCAAAAATGTTGCGAGCAGTTCGAAGACTGTCGCTGTGAGAAGACGAAAGTCGAGTTGTTATCATCCATGAACATGGATAAATTATGCCAGCTTAGAGGCAGTTATCCTACGTCAACTTGTTGTACGTCCTCGTATGTTGCTCACAAGAACTATAATGCTTAGATATTGAGTTTCCTATTAATATATCCTGTGGACCTTCTGAATCTCTCGTGCATCACCAGGGCCTTTCGAGGTTTATTCGTGCGAAGGTCCTCTGCGTTCATCTCTAGCGAGAAGCTCGTCGGCAGATTGCAAACTTTCCTGATTGCCCAGCTGACTAGCACCGTGCTTCCTTTACTTGGCAACATATTATGGTTTTGCTCTGCATTTCCTGCAAATCGCACTTCCTTTATTGCAAAACTTCGCCCAACTGATAGCCGATAGACTTACAAGTACATACTAGTACTACTAATACACCCAAGTTAGCGACCGCGAAACATGCATATTTACTTTGTTTCCTGAGGGTGAGCGACCAACTTCGTTCCAGACACCTGTTCCATTCTCATCCTTTCCAGCCCTCCGATAATACCTTCGAGCCCGTTCGGAAGGATTTCATAGTTGTTCGGCTACATAACTGTGAGACATAGATAGACAGTAATTGCAGAACGAACCTGAATAGTACCCTCTGAGAGCCACTTTTCAATCATAGCCCAAGAGCTGCGGAAGATCTCTTCATCATATGGGACATGTGGGCTCCCGATGGTGGAAACGGCCTTGCGCCCCTTGCCTTCATCTTCCTTGACTGATGGAGGAAGGGTTAATACTAGAATGCCGTTTTGCGCCAACAATCCCCATCCAACAGACTGTGTTTCGGGCAGCGAGATAGCGTCATAAACGATCCTGATAGGACTGTCGGTTACTTCACTGATGGCCGCCATTAACTGCCTGCCGGAAAGGTGCCGGTCAAAAAAGTGGGTTGCGCCGTAATCCTTGACAAGGTCTTCATTGTTAGGGGATGCTGTAGTAATGATAGGATAGAACCCTGAAAGACGAGCAAGTTGGATGGCTAAAAGACTATCAGGATACGGGTAAAGAGGCGAGTCACACTTCTCTCACTGTATGAACCCACAGAGGAAGAACCGCCAAGGATGACGATGGGATACTTGGGTTCAAGATCGCTGGCAGTCTTCGCCCAAGGAGGGGCTATCCCAGCTCCGAGGTGTTTTCCGTACAAGCCCGCTATTGCAGTATCCAACCCCTGAGGAACGGTAGCTGCGCTATCGAAAGATTGACTCGAAGGAATCTGGGATGGGATATAGCCGATGACATTGCCGACGGACCACTCAGGACTTACTTTGGCAGTAGACGTCGCAACGGTTAGCGAGTACTGCTGAAACGCACCCTGATCAATAATTGAGGGATTTCCATGGGCCAATCTGTAAACCAAAGTTTAGCCTATAAGCACAGGCGGAAAGACATGTCTGACACTTTATCGCCTTTGCGGAAATTCTCAACACCTTCTCCTAGTTCCTCGACAATGCCAGCAATGTCCACGCCAAGGACGGCAGGGTAATGGGTCACGAATATCCCGTCGTCCTGTATCTTGTAGTCAACCGGGTTCAGGGCAGCAGAATGAACCTTGACCAGGAGTTGCCCGATGCCAGGGCTGGGTATGCTGCGGGAGCCAACCTTGAAGTTGCCCTGCTTTTCGGGAAGAATAAGAGCTTTCTGTTGCGGAGACATGAGACGTAGAGTTACAGTGACCGGAGGTCTTCTGACTCTTCCCCGCACTTGCTACCTATATAATAATTTGAAAAGTTTGGATAAGTAAGAAAAGATCATGTGGATGATGCATCAATGATGATAATGATGTCCCCTTCTTGATCACGAGCGTCGAGCTCTAACCAAAAGAACACCGCGTATGGAAGACAGGACTGCCGCGCTCACTTAGTCATGTCACAATCACATATAAGGCAATAGGACTCCGTGCACTTCGATCTCGAATAAATAAGTTAGTTAGAGAATTGCCGCCTGGAGTTACAAAGTAAACGCTAGTTGTATAGAAAGCGGGAGGTAAGCGTCTTGGTTTTTATCAGATGATCCGTGACCTGATTCATATTTTGCAGACAAGTAAAGTTATGAATATCTCCCGGTGATCCACTACTGACGATTCCTACGTATGTACAGAACGATCCCTCTAGCGGAAGTAGTTGATTGTGAGCACTGATTCAATCGTGTGATCGCGATTTAACTTTCATCCTTTATAGCTTTCAAAATGTTCTACTCCAATCAAGGTGCACAGGGCATTCTGGGCACTCCGTCAAAACAACAGCTGGATACTATCTTTGGCACAATTACCTTGTTGAATGTGTTCAGGTCCGTTTCAGGCTTTATGGTGCTGATGATGACTTCTGTGAACGGCGCGGCAAAGTATTTGGTAGGCAGAAAGGGATTGGAAGCGACGAGCCTGCGCGTCAGTTGGGATTCGATGATCGCGTCAAGCTTCTCTTTGACCTGTGCCATTGTTGCGGCCGTCGACTCTGACCCCTGAGGACGGCGGTCCCAATCTGTGCACATAATTAGCTCAATACAGCGTTACTGGAATTAGAATGCACTGATGAACCACTGCCTAACCCCGGGCTGCTGGATGCGGCCACCCCAGTACATCTTTTGAATGCCTTCAATAGTAGGCTGGCGCAAGAGCTCAAGAACTTCCTGGAAGTTGGAAGTCGTCTTCATCGCATGGTTGCTGATGAGCGTGATGATCTCGGTAACAGGAGACATGACGTTGTAGCAGAATTCGATGGAGCACCTCGAGTGTCTTGGCCTTTATTATATGTTCCTTGTCGAAAATATTCCCATGTGCTATGCTGAGGAGGCCCCTCACTGTAAGGCATACTTTTCGCACGAGAATGGACAATGACAGAACGTAAGTTATGTGCCAACGTCACTATAAAGGTAAAGACCTTTTGGTGCCGATGTGGGCGGGGTTTCTGGTGCTGAAGGCGCACGAGAAAACAGACGAGACATCTAGGAGCGAGCGGGTCAACGATCATCAAACAGAATAAAAAACAATCACCAATGAATTACTTGTCTTCACTTCGGGTATATGCGGAGGGTCGTACTTGAGCACCTGCTCCCAGAAACGTTGAAATTTGCCAATGATGCGAATCTGATGATCGTCACTTCGAAGTACCCCAGACTGCACGAGTTTTTCATGTTGTTTGATCGGGGAGATAGGCTCCGGGAGCGTTTGCGAGGTCTCGAACTGATTGATTAAAGCGAATTCGGCAGGATTGCTACCTGCAATACCAATGCTGTCTACGGCAAGTGAAGAATTGAATGCTTTCCCGTGTCCATGACCATGACCGGAAGATGGCGAAGAGCTGGAAGGTGAGGCAACTGGTATTGAAGTAGTCAACACCCGCCTACTTTGTGCCGGTGTCCGCAAAGGAACTGTATGCAATAGGAGTCGATTCCGCTGGTGAAGCGCGCTAGATCGCGCTGCATTCATATTAACGATGCTCCGTCCGCCAAAAAAAAATACAAACAGAGGGGAGATAGTAGTGTGCAATGCACTGCCTACAGCTCCAATCATAGAGGAGGAGACATTAGTTATTGCAGGATTCTCTGATGAGGAGGACAATGATGAAACATTTGATTGGTGACTTAACTTACTGTAGAGTTTGTGTTACTAGTGGTACTCAAAATAAAAATTAGAAATGTTTGAAAGCTCGCTGAACTCTGACTAAGGCTTTCAACTCGTGGCTAAGCGGCTTCCAACACTTCGGCCGCTGGGACTGCGATTGAAGGTCAGGCCGGCATCGCTGGCGGAGTTTCAAACAACCATGCCTCCTTCTCGCCAACGTGTACGCCGTTCTGCACGCTTGAAAGCTAACCCTCTAGTGCGTTGCTCCAGGTCGATGGACGACGAAGGTCCAAACACTCGCGGACCAGCCAAACCCCCTCCAGAACAGCATGTACCCCGCCTGACTATCCAGTGGCAGAGCGACTGTGCTCTTACCGACATCCTCGTCAACCATCTCTCCACGCACCCCGCCGATTGCAGAGTACTTTTCTACTCTGACGGCAAGAAAGCGATGGCTGCCGTTGATGATGGTGCCTCGGGCTCGGACAAGGGGCAGGTGTATGGTACCCTGGCCAAACTTATTTTCACTGACCACCCGAGGTACGGTTACGCGTTCGCCACCAACGCAAAGAAGTTTCGTGACGGAGTCTGCAACCGCATCCAAACGTGAGTCGTTCCCGTTTTTTCTTCCGTTACAAAAAATACTGAAATTTATGTAGACTTAGGGGGAAATACAAGAAACTCAAGGCATCTTTTGACAGTACTGGCGCTGGTGTGATGCCTGGTGAAGGCACGCAAACGAAAAATCTTTTGGGTGAGTCCTCGTTCCTTATTTTCTGGTCCTTAGCTGATGTGTTTCGTAGATGCAGCGCTCTTAGAGCTCCCATGGTATACGGAACTGGATGCCATTTGGCATTCCAATCCGTCCATGGCCGCGAAGACTCACTCATCAAGACCTGGCGTCGATCACGCCGGCGCGTTATATTCCTTGGTTGGACGACATGCTGGGGCTGGTACCCCCATGCAACTTGACACCAGCGCCGGTCCCCCCATGCACATTGATACCAGCGCCGGTCCCCCCATGCACATTGATACCAGCGCTGGTCCCATGCAGTACCCTCAACCGCCTCCTCAATATCCCCCGCCCGATATCCATCCTTCCAGCACTCCACCCTCGCATTATGGCCAGCACTACTATCCCCCAGCAATGCCTTATGCTGGGGGTTCACATGGTGATCCCTCCATCGATCCAACACTGCAACATCCTGCTCCTGCTCCCGCATTACCCTCCACTGCCCCTTTGCCCTCCGCTGGCCCTTTGCCCTCCACTGGCCCTTTGCCCTCCGCTGCCCCCTTACCCTCCGCTGCCCCCTTGCCCTCCGCTGTCCCCTTACCCTCCGCTGCCCCCTACAATCAGTCTTCTCAATTCCATCTCCCTGGCCTTCCAACATCAGACGACGACATGGACATGGACTTTCAAGGCACCGGTGGCCCATTGGATGCCCCCCTTGAAGGTGATGAGAGGGCCGATAGCTCTTCCAAAGTCGCTGGGAAGAAGCGACAACTTCCTTCGTCGCCGTCTCCCCCTCCCGATGCTCCCGAACCTTTCGCTATGCCAGCAGCGTCCCCATCATCTGTCTACAACAGCCGCTCGGCATTTGGCCTGAAGAAGCCACCGAGCCGCGGTAGACACCGCAGGCTGCCATTGGAGATCTCTATCAGCACGTCAGCACCTTCGTCCACGACACGCAATACTACCCCGTCGTCGGACTACCTGATGTCCTCGACCCCCCAGACTTCGCTTCCACATAGCGCCGGCGGCTCGAAGAAGAAAAAGGCCAAGTCGGATGTGATGCAGCAGGTTGAGGAGGTGAGGGATGAGATCGCGTCCATGCAATCTGATGCGATGTCGCGCCACGACCACAAACACCAACGCTATCTCGCGAAGCTCGAGGCGAAGACAGAACACACCCGCGACATCAAGAAGTACGAGTGGCTTCGCGCCACGCGCGAGCACGAGACCTTCCAGGCTACTGTCAGCCATCAGCGTCTGCAGGAGTCGAAGGATAGCGACATCCGCCTTCGCGAGGCCGACATCCGAGTCTACGAAGCGCATTCCTTGGTGCTCGACAAGGAGGCGGAGACTCTTCGACTCAAGATCCAGTTTCAGCAAATGATGCAGGCGAGCAAGGGCCCAGCATCAGATGGAGTTGAGTGAGCTCTCGTCGTCGTTGTCTCGTTGCCGTTGCCGTCTCATTCTCGTCATCATCTCATTCTCGTTCTCGTTCTCGTCGTCGTCTCATCATCTTATTTGCTGTTGTTGTTTCCATTGGACTTATGTGTTTTCAGTTTTGTTGCTACCTTCTGTGATTGAGTACATAGCTATATACATTTGTTGTACAAGTCTGTTAGTAGTATTACATGTTCAAAAGCATTGATCATCCTTCCCTATGGTGTGCATCTGAGTGAGGACTGTTAAAGAGCTCATCCATCAACTTTGCACGAGCAGCTTGACCAGGAGTGCCATCATATGTCCTGTCACCAACTACTTCTTCACCTTCTGGACCCTCAATCTCTTGATCAATGAAATCTTCCCCCTCCGTGCGAGCCCACTTTAGAGAGCTCTCGTATGTTCCGTCCTCCTTGCGATGCTCGATTTCAAAGCGAATGATCATGTTGTGCAGGATGATGCAACACTTGATCCACTGCACAGCAAACTCGAGGTCTTTCTCAGCCTGAATTCTGAACCGTAGCTCTCGAAGGGACTGGAACCGTCCCTTCAAAACAGCAAATGTGTGTTCAACACGAACACGAATCTACATAAATAAAAATCAATTGAAAAGCACTAAAAAAAAAACATACCTTAGAGAGGTGATAATTGAATGTCTTCTGGTCCCTTGTCAGCCGTCCGTTGCGAGGCCTCTTGAAAGGGGCGATACACCATGGTTCCAATGGGTAAGCGCTGTCTGCCCAAACCCAATGACCATCAGGCAGAAGATCAGCGTGCTCGTCATAGAGGCGAGTGGATCGAAAAGCGAATGCATCATGGACACTCCCGGGATGACCAAGAGAGTAATCAACAATCAGGAGGTTATGGGGCAGGATGACTGCCTAGAATTAAATTAATTTTTGCACATGAAGACGAAGAACAAAAATGTTACCTGACAGCCAAGGGAATAATTGGACTTCCTATCATAAAATGTCTCACCGTAATAACCAGGTTTCGTGAACAGATTCATAGTCGAACCATCGATGGCTAGAAAGCCACCTTTCCACTCTGGACAAGTACGTGACTCGGCAAATTTGCGAGCCAGGTCAGCGTCCTCAGAATTACCTGCTGGGAAGCAGATAAACTGATCATGGGCATCAAGCACCGCAATCATCACACGATTAGTGCAATTAACTACGGACCCGACACTCACGCCTGCCCATTGAGCGACATCCTCGAGAGAAATGGAATTGCCATAGTGGCCTGCCCGATTCAGAAAGATGGCGAGCTGGATGGAGACAGGGAGCTGAGGATTGTTGGACTGGTTCTGGAAGATAGGGTGATTAGATATATGATCGAGGATGTCATCGAAGATCTCCGGGTTGACACGAAGTTTCTGCCGAAACAAGTGAGGGCGGTGTTCCTCGTGGTGAACCAGCATGTGGAGTTGAGATGCTCGTGGAGGAGGCTCGTCAGGCTTGTGGAGTACACGAGCCCTCATAACCTCATCACGAAGAGCATTGATGGTGTCTTGGAGCCTGTCGTAAGGCAAAGCGACGTCATCAGAAGATACAGAACTGGTATCAGAAGAATCTGAAGTCGCTGAAGTCGCTGTGATAGGGGAGTCGGGGGACATGGGGGAAGGAGATCTTAAAGACAGACTGATTGAAACATCATCGTCTGAAGGAGTAGTAGAAAGCGAGTCCTCGGAGCTGGAATCGCTCTCAAAGTCTGACCAGTCCTCTAGGATATCCTGGTATCGTAACCTGGCCAAAGAAAGTTCGGCCTGATCCACGGTATTCAGGAGCTCTTTACGAGTGGATGGACGAGGCATAGTTATGGTGGGGGGCTATGGTGCGTGTGGGATCAAAACTCCTATCTGCGTGTATATGTGACGCAGTTTTCAGCGGAGTTTGAAATCTCGGAAAGTTCCGAGGCTTCGTCTTGCACTGAGCACGCCGTTGTCGTTGTCGTTGTCGACCTCACCCTACGAACCTCGATGCCCATCCACAGCGCTGAGAAGGCCACCATCAAATTTTCGGGTGCCATCCACCCAAGGTAAGTCATTTTTGTGTGTAGTTAACTAACATTTACTTTTATTTGATAGGAAATCTATTATAATCCGGATCCCACACAGATCCCACCTGACCAGCGGCGCCTCGCCCTTACCGGCAAACGGCCTGTCCACCTCCCGCATCCTTATCTGTCTCTACGGAGGCACCCTCACGTTGGAGATGGAGTCATCGGACACCATCGACAACGTGAAGGCGAAGATCCAGGACAAGGAGGGCATCCCAACTGACCAGCAGTGTCTCGCCTTCGCTGGAAAGCAGCTCGAAGATGGCTGTACTCTCAGCGACTACAACATCCAGAAGGAGTCCGCCCTTCACTCGATCTTGCGTCTTCACGGAGGCACGCAGATCTTCCTCCCGACGCTTTTCATCCCCCCCCCCCCCCCCCCACTGCTCAGCATCCCCCGGTCCTCAGCGACTACAACATCCAGAAGGAGTCCGCCCTTCACTCGATCTTGCGTCTTCGCGGAGGCACGCAGATCTTCCTCCCGACACTTTTCATCCCCCCCCCCGCTGCTCAGCATCCCCCCCTCCTCCGCTCGGCACTTATTTGGTCCCTCCCGCGCTCCCTACCTACAGCTGATTTCATTCCCGCGGGCCTTGTTTTTTTTACAATTTTATTAATGCTTTCATTGAAATACAAT